AGTCTGTGGGAGACCAGACCCAGGCATTTCAGTGGCTGGGTGGCTCGGGGCAGCACAGGCCCGCCATGCCCCTCAGCACACAGCACTGCTCCCCCAGATGCTGGGTGTTCCTCAGGAAATGACAGAAACGGGTCAGGCCGTGAAAGATGTTGAGGAGGATTTTAGAAAATGTTTTTGTTGTGTTTTCTTCTGGACAAGAAAAGACATCTCAAGATAAGCAGCAGCCAGGAAGGTCTTCCTGCCCGTCCGTCTTAACTCGATCCCGAAGTGGGGTCTGTACCCAGGGGAGGTCCCGCCAGGGCCCCATCTCCTGGCCGCTCAGGGCAGCGCAGAGCCTGCTGGGGAGAGGCCAGATGAGCAGAGGGACGGCGGTCAGGTGTCACAGAGCCTGTGTGTGCTTCCCTCAGCTTCCTTCTCCTCTCCTTGTTCTGCCTCCGTTTGGATTTGGCCTTTGGGAATAGCGAGTTTGACAAAATGTTTGAAATCTAACATATCCCGCACCAACAAGAATGCGCCTAGTTGTTTTGCAAAAGATTTATATTAAAACTACTCTTTTATACTAAGAGAAATGACACTTCTGTTCTGTACCTGCTGTTTTGTTCCTCTTTATTCTCCGTCACGATGGTTGAAACTTCTGGCAGCAGCTACTTCCTAGCAGGCTCTTAGGCACTGCACCTAAGTAACTGCAGGTGTGCGAGCGCATGAGGACCGCCTGGAGGGGCGGGGGGAGGCGGGGGGGGGGGGGGGGGGGGGCAGAGCTGTCGAGAAGCAGGTCTCTAACTCCCTGGTCCGTTGCTTGTGAACTCTTTAGCCTTTATCTGTGTGTCTTTATCGAGTCATTTGGGTGTGGCAAGTGTGATGAGGTGGCTGACTCCCAGGAAGTTTAAAAACGGAATCAAACCAAGAAGCAGTAACGGGGAAAAGAGGTACCTGCTGTACCTCTCTGTGTTGCTAACAAGCTCTAATGTCGGCCGGCTGCTCCAGGGACCCCAGCCATACTCTCCGTGTGGAAGCAGGTTTCATGTATGTCCTACTTAGGAGGCTTGAGCGAGTTGACATTTGTGAAGAATGCTTTGTACATCGTAATTGCTGTGCGAATAAAGATTACTATCTCGGATAAACAGTACAGTTCTCAGCGCCAGTAAGCCGATCCTCCCATCGTGTGCTTGGAAGAAGCACAGATCTGCAAAGAGGGCTTGCCCATTTCCCGGTGTGAGGTGTATTCACAGGCTCACATGCGTTTTCCCTGCTTTTTGATCCTGTCTCTCCATGCATCAACCAGACGGTCCATTATGTACAAAGTACAAAGTTTCCCTGTGACTTGAACAAAGAGGCAAAGCTCCTGGCCAGAAAGGTTGTGTCCATTTCTCTTGTTCCTCCACTACCTTCACAGTCTGTGGCTGGTTATCAGCCAGCACAAGCACAGGGGAGTCTCACTTTCCTCACTCAAGGTTGAGTCACAAAATGGACTTATAAATTATAAAGGCTGCAAGAGCAGCAACAAAAAAGGAAATGGCCCTGGCTGGTTTGGCTCAGTGGATCGAGTGTTGACCTGCAGACTGAAGAGTCTTGGGTTCGATTCTGGTCAAGGGCACATGCCTGGGTTATGGGCTCGATCCATGCAGGAGGCAGCCAATCAATGTTTCTCTCTCATCATCGATATTTCTATCTCTTTCTCCCTCTCCCTTTCTCTCTGAATCAATTTTTTAAAATTAAGGGAAATGGAAATGTGGATGTTGAATTCAGCAGCCTCACACCCAGATTGCTCCCCTACAGTGTCCCTGAGGTGGAGAGGAAGGACTGACTTTGGTCTTCAGGAGGGCATTATCTTTTAGCCTTTTTTTTTTTTTTTTTTTTTTTTTTTTTTTTTTTTTTTTTTTAATAATTGACTTCAGAGAGAAGAAGGGAGAGGGAGAAACATCAATCTGTAGGAATCTAACTGTGACCTCCTGGTACACAGGTCGATGCTCAACCACTGAGCCACACTGGCCAGACTATCTCTAGCTTTTTGAAGCTTCACATTCAGACCACTTAAGGCGGATGTAGGAACATGTGTGTGTGACTGTCAGGTGAGAGCTGTGGGCTCGGTCGGATTTTACCAGGTGGTAATCTAATTTAACCTAATCTCACACTCCCGAGAGAGGGGGTGCCTCTTCTGCAGCCACATCTGGTTCATCAGACTCATGGACTCTCCGGTGCCTTTCCTTCAGTAGCTTAATAAATGACCCAATGGTTCAAGTGATTAATAAAATCCTATTGTGTGCAGACGGTAGATAATAGGCAATTAAAAGTGGGCAGCACAAAGGGGTGACGCCATCCTCCCCGGTTGTTAATCCCACTCGCAGTGCTTCAGGAGGCAGGGCAGGGGCGTGTGTCCCGCTGCCTGTGAACAGCAGCAGCAGGGGGCTCAGAGATGAACCATGGCTCTCCTCCAAGCTGAGTGCATTCTTACTAAAACAGCGCTCCCCACCTGTAGCAGCGGTTTCTAGCTGCCTCAGTGGTAGGGACCCTGAGGATAAGAACCGTTGCCTTTAGAATATAGAAGGTGACGGTAATCTCAGGGTCGCTGTGTCAGTGAGGGTTCTGCCGGGTCCCTGCCTTCAACGGCAGCTCCCCACAGCTCCTGGCAGCACGCTGGCTCCCTGCGAAGTGTAAGTGCTCCTTGCCTTAGAAAGCCCTGCAGTGCTGATGCCAGGTGGTGAGGTCAGAATTTGCAGTGACTGTCACTCGCCAGGGTGCCCGTTCCAGTGGCAGCCTGCACGTTCCGTGGCGGGTGGACGACGTGTCTGACAGCGGTGCTCCCTCCAGTTTTCCGGGGTGCTGGGGCCATCACTCTTGTTCACAGCATTAGTCCCTCTTCTGTGCAGGCACTGACAATAAAAGCCAGGACATGGAGCCTGGTTGCTAAGATTTGGCCCAGCGATTGGCAGCTAACACTGAGTTGCCATAAAGGTGCAGGATCTGACGTGTAGCGACCCTTCCCAGTGGAGGTGTGATCTTCCCCTGGGTGGGAGGAGCTGTGAGCCAACTCCCTGACAAGCAAGGCAGGGCGCTGGAGCAGAGCGGAGGCTGCTGACCCTGCTGTCTCCCCTGCCGGCCGCTCCCTCTGGTCTGGCACAGTGGGTCTAAACGCATTGCTGAGCTCATTCACATGCTAATTTTCTTAATTGTCGTAACCACCTTATGAAGTAGATACTGTCATCTCTACTGAGGAGGAAACTTAAGTGCAAACAAGTTAAGGACCTTGCTGAAGGTCATGGAGTAGAGGCAGGATTCAAATTTAGGGTGTTTTGTTTTGTTTTTTATTTCAGAGAGAGGAAAGGAGGTGGGGAGAGAGAAACATCAATCAGCTGCCTCCTGCATACCCACTATTGGGCCATAACCTGGGCATGTGCCCTGACTGGGAATTGAACCAAACCAACAACCGGATATGTGGGACAGCGCTCAACCACTGAGCCGCACTGCCCGGCCCAGAATCCATGGTTTAAATGACGTGAGAGACTGCCTCCAGGTGGAAGGATACGGTGCCATCCCCTCACCTCCCTGCCTGCAGAGCTCTCCTGGGCCGGCTCCTCCCCCTCATACTGAGCAGGAGTTGGGGACTAGGGCAGGGGGCCCTTTTCTGTGATCCACATGTGGGCCTGGCTCAGCCTTTCCCCAGTTGCCTTTCCTCTCTGGCATGTTTCCTTGTCTGTGAGATGCTGGTGATGTTGCCTCATGGATCATTTTGGGAATTAAATATTAATACTACAGCGAATTTATCAGTTTCTGGCTCGGAGTAAGCACCTAATAAATGTTAGCAAATGTTTATTATCGTCATCTCCCCGCCTTGAGACTCAGCCAGGAAACAGTTGCTGAGAGACCAGATTCTAGGGCCTGGGTAGGCTGGCAGTTCTTTGGTTTTTGACAAGACAGTAATTTTATTCTATGTATTTTCTCTTTTTTTTACATTTATTTATTGATCTTTTTACAGAGAGGAAGGGAGAGAGATCGAGAGTTAGAAACATTGAGAGAGAAACATCCATCAGCTGCCTCCTGCACACCCTCTAGTGGGGATGTGCTTGCAACCAAGGTACATGCCCTTGACCAGAATTGAACCTGGGACCCTTCAGTACCCAGGCCGACGCTCTACCCACTGAGCAAAACCGGTTAGGGCTCTATGTATTTTCTTGATTCTTTTGGTGTGAAAAGCAGAGAGGTAAATCATTATATGACAGATGTATGGATCCATGCAAGAAACTGAGGTCCGCCCTAGCCGGTTTGGCTCAGTGGATAGAGCATCAGCCTGCAGACTCAGTTTACTGCGGCTTGCTGAGCCCTGCCCCCATCCTGTGCCAGACTTTCCCAAAGTGCTTATTTGCCATGCTTGGTTCTCAGCTCTCATGGCGGCTCACTCTGTAGGCTCCAAGCCAGGGTGATGCTGCGGCCACTGCCCCCAGCCACTCCGTTTCCAGGTGTGAGGATGTGAGCTTCTGTGAAGCTGCCACCTCCTTCCTGTCTTCCATATTGTGCCTCTTTCTCCTGGTGCTTTGCCAGTTTTCCGAAGGAAGTTTCCAGGCCCCGGAGTTAGAGCCCGCCCTCCCTCTCCAAGGAATTTGGAGTTAGCCTCGGGAAGAAGACGGTGAGGGCTCCGGGCCTCCGGGCTGCATAGGAAGAGTTTGCTGTGGGTAGTGAGCTAGCTCTGCCAGGGGGGGAAGAGCTGGCACACAAGGGAGTGTGCACCGGGGCTCCGGAGGAGCAGACGGGCCTCACCTGCCCGGGCACAGCCCAGCCTGCAGGAGCCAAGGCTGAAGACCGATACCTCCTCCTCGCATTCCCGTCCGGAGCTCGGCTTGCTCCGCCACTGCCTACGTGGTGGCTGAAAGCAGCCGTGGGCTCCTGTTGATGAAAGCTCACTCTTTGTAAGAGGTTCCCGCTTGGGGACCGGCAGGCTGTCTGTGCCTTCCTGTCTCTCCGCTTCTCTGAGGGTTGATGTCGATGGCTTCTCTTTGTCTCCACAGGGAACGCTGATGATCCATGACAAAGAGGTCACCCTCGAGTATGTACCCAGCCTGGATTGTTGGTACTGCAAACGGGTAAGTGCGGCAGTTCCTTTCCTCAGGAGTGAGGACCTGGCACCGCAGCTCCTCCGTGTCTCTAGGAACGCTGCTGGCAGCGGGCATTGCCAAGGGCAGAGCTCCTTGTTCATTTCCGGTGAACTGGAGGCCAGGGTTCAGTCCCCAGCAGTCCGGTTTCCCGCTTCTGCCTGCGGCCCAATTCTGGCCTGCCGTGGGAAACACTTTGTGGAATGACGTAACTTAGTCCAGAAGACTGTTCGAGAGCCATTTGTTTGGAAATGAATCATTTCTCCATTAGAAATCATGTAAATTGAGTTAATGTGTTCCAGGCCCAAAAGTGATTCCCATACGTTGGGTATGCGTTCGGTTTTAAAAAATATTTGTAGTCAGATTGACTTCTTTCTCTTGCAGTGTAAGGCCCCCACTGCTGGACACCGACCTTCCTGCTCAATCTGCAAGTGCCCGAGGGAAGGTGAGTGGGGTGGCGGCGTGGTCTTACCTTTGCACTGAGCAGACGCGTGTCTGCCCTTCCTTGGCTGTGGAGCAGTCGCCCTGAGAAGTTGGAAGTGCAGTGTGACTTCTCACCTCAGGAGGCCGCTAGTGGATGGCTGAGATCTCCGAGGCCTCCAGGGAGAGCTGCATTGCACTCAGCCTGAGGTGCTCAATGGGCAGCTGACCAGAAGTTGGTGTTGGTGGGTTCGGGGAGCGTCTGAGGATGTTAGGTTGGGAAAGAGTCTACTGTGACCCCTTCCCTGCTTCTCTGAAGTTATTGGGAATCACTTGCTATCATTAGTATTTTCTCATTTGCACTCGATGTAAACTTTGCAGGGTCTTTGACAGGAAAACATTTGCTGAAGTAATAGTAAACAGTAGACAAGAGGAAGTAATCAGGATTGAGGGTGTGTGCTGTTTTATAGAGGAATAACCTATCAGCTCTCAGCACTTGACTTTAAAGTAACTTTTTCCAGAAAAGCTCTAGGTGGACCCCCTTTAAGCAGCTCCTAAGGCGCCCATGCAGCAGCCCTGCAGCAGTGACTCACTGCCCCTTTCTGACATGGCCCCTGAGGAAAGCCAGGCATGGCCATCACACAGTCCCGTGCAGGACGCAGGCAGTTTCTGTGCGGCCTCACACCCACAGGTGGGCCGGAGGCTGCCTGCAGGGCTGCGTCCGCAGGCGCGGTGACAGTCTCGGGAAGGCACGCTCGACATTTCCCACAGGCGGGAATGTGAGCACACAGCTCAGCTGTTAGCTGCTTAGGTGACCAGATAAGGCAAAATGGTTTTTCTCAGTCTGTTCTAACAAGTGAATGACGGTTTCTAAAACCCCGGGCTGAGACAGCCTTCCGTGTAAGCATAGCGCAGGTGCCGTCGCTGCCATCCATCTCTGTGTGGCCCCTAGAATGTCTCCTTTTGAGTCTCATGGCTTCCTATGAACCCTCTAAGAATGATTAATTGCAAAAATGTGCCCATAATTAACTGGATAGATTGTTCTCCTATAGGAAGACTGGTAATGAATCATTTATATTTGCCTGCTGTAATTTTTTACATATAAACAACATGTATGCAGGTAGGTGTATTCCTAGCTTCGCCAGAGGAGAGGAGGCCGTGGTCTTACAGAATTGGAGACAGCTGTCCTGTGTCATAACCCTAGCAGAAGCAAGGCTCCTAGACACACATTTGGGATATATGTTTCTGCCAAACTTCTAGCAAGAGTTATATTTTAGTAATTTTGTCACCAAATCTATTCTTTTCATTGATTATAATAGTTAGGTCCAAGGTCTCATGAAGGACTTGTATATAAATGTTTGGGAAGTGACAGAATACTCAATATTTAAATTTTTTAAAATTGATTTCAGATAGGAAGTGGCGGGAGGAGGAGGGGCAGGATTTGAAACTTCAATGAGAAGAGAAAATCATTGATCAGCTGCCTCCTGCACGTCCCCCACTGGGGATGGAGCCCACAACCCCAGCATGTGTCCTGACTGGGAATTGAACCGTGACCTCCTGGTTCACAGGTTGACGCTCAACCACTGAGCCACACCGGCCGGGCCCATATTAAGTTTTGATACTTGGGAAGTTCCTTCTGTAAACTTTCCTGTGCTCATTAGCCCTGAGTACAATCTGCCAGGGCACTTTGTGCAGGCGCTCCTGAGACAGTGAAAGTACTCTGGGACCAGCACCTTTCGGCGGAGAGGAGGGGCCCGAGCAGCAGTGCTTTTGGATAAAGCCTGCCAGAGATTCTGTTTCTGTTCCTCTAGGGACAGACGTGAAGCAGGACTTAGTGACGTACCCTCAGCTTCAGAAAACGCCCCTCCCACCGCCATCAGAAAAGCAACCCAGCCAGTCCCCAAGGTCCGCTGACAAGGAACAGGTGCCCAAGAAGCGGGAAGAAGGACAAGAGCCACGCTCGGGACATCAAAAGAAAGAAGCAGATCGGTACCCGCCTCCCTCTCGCAGGGAAGGGCTCAGCTTCCGAAGAGACCGAGAGAAGGATCCGTGGTCTGGGGAGACACGCCAGGATGGGGAGAGCAAAAGTAAGTGCTTTGTCGGGGCTTGTGCCAGATTGTGACCCCGAGGTGGGGGTCGGCCGGCCTGTGCTGTGGCTGGGGACCACCACTCCCCTCGCTCTCGCACAGCTGCTCAGCCTAATGGTAGGGCCTGCTCTCCTGGGCCTGCTGTTCTAGTTAAAGGGACCTCCATCCTCCAGGAGCAAGTTCCTGTTCATATGCAGCAAGGCCTCATTGCAGATTTCTAAGTGCTGGTGCAACAGAGGCCGGGCATTTATCTGATTAGCGTTGGTTACAGAGGCAGCCTCGCTAGAGCAAGAAGTATCCACAGTTAAAAAAAACGAAGGGCAGCCAGGCTTGCAGCCTCCGGAGGTAACCTCTCTGTGTCTTTCCTCACGGTCTGTTCAGCCATCATGCTCAAGCGCATCTACCGATCCACACCCCCTGAGGTGATCGTGGAAGTGCTGGAGCCCTACGTCCACCTGACCACTGCCAACGTCCGGATCATCAAGAACAGAACCGGCCCCATGGGCCACACCTACGGCTTCATTGACCTCGACTCCCACGCCGTGAGTGTCCCCGCAGTGGCCTAGGGACTCTGGGTTTGAGTCATTCCGGTGAAGTGACTGCCCGTGGGACTGGGAGGCTGCGAGTGGTTCCGTCCACCTTGGTCTGTGCCTCTCCGCGTCCAGCTAGAACAGAACCACCAGAGCTCAGTCACTGGAGAGTCCGAGCGCTGAGCTCTCAGAGTTCAGTGAGTTCTCTCATTGCTCCCCCCGTTTTCCCCAACCGGGTGGTCACAGGACACCCTCTTTCCTCAGAGTTGCTTTTGTCGATTCTTATGACTTGAATTTTTAGCTGCGGGGCCTTTTCCCTGGACGTGACATCAGCTAGTAATAACACTCACTGGTACGGCACAGATCTCGTGCTCAGAGGCCGCAGGAGGCTTCGTAAACTGGATCCGCGGTGGGGACAGCTGCAGCCTAAAATAAAGGATTTGGATTTCTGACATTTATATGAGAAGCTGATAAAAAACAAAAAGCAAAATCACAAATCTGAACTGATTGTGCTGTCGTCTCCTCTGGACAAACCCTAAGCCTGTGTCACAGTGCAGTGTTGTCCGATTCGAAAAGAAAGAAACCGAGGCCACTCCGGGCAGGAGTCTGTTTCTGCGGGGCCCTTCCGGTCAGCTCCGGCCAGAGCACACGGTCCAGGAACCTTTCCTTTTGAGAGGGAAGCCCGCGTCAGGCTCCTTCCGAGGACAGGCCTTTCCTCTTGGGGTTCACACGTGTCTTTGCTCCCCAGGAAGCTCTTCGTGTAGTCAAGATCCTGCAGAACCTCGATCCCCCGTTTAGCATTGATGGGAAGATGGTAGCTGTCAACCTGGCTACTGGGAAACGCAGGTACGGCAGCGGGTGGGCGGTCCCTGCTGCCTCCATGGAGATTGGGAGGAAACGCCTGTTCCTGCTGGAGAGGCAGAGTAAGGCAGGATGCCTTCCTCTGTGGATGCTCGGTTCTCTTTCCTGGAGCCGGCTCGGTCTGGCTCTGGGTCCCGCCCTGTAGTCCCGGTACCTCAGTCCTTTCCTCTGGGGCTGCCTAGCTCTTTCGGGTGCAAGTGACGCTGCCCTGTTGGATTGCAGGACAGTCTGCTTCCACCTTGCCCCTGGGAATGCTAGGAAAATGCTGTCCTGCCCTCCTCCCCTCCCCTCCCCGTTCACACTCCCAGAGCCCCGGGGGCTCGGCTTCCTCTTACTCCTTCCCTCATCGTGGCCCAGCCATGGTAACTGCAATGGCTCCGTCAGAGTGGCCGCGTACAGGAGGGACCTGTCTGCCTCTTGCACCTTTGGCTCAGTTGCTGTTTTGCTCCATCAGAGGCTCCAGAAGTGCCGCTGCTCCTCCCCTCAGGAGTCTGCACAGCAGAACTGCTTGCTGTGGGCGGCTCCTTCCCTGCAAAGGGGGGAAGGAGTGTCTTTGGCCGGTCTGTAGGGTTGGGCACTTCTCAGGGGACCTTTGGTGGCAGGCACATGACATGTTGTGTCCTTTGTTGCAGAAATGATTCTGGGGACCATTCTGACCACTACTATCAGGTAGGCGTCAGCAGTTGGGGAGTGAGTGCTCTGCTGAGCCTCTCCAGGGGTGACTCTAAAGGTTAGTGGCTGTGGACGTTCCATTCTCTTCACTTGCCTTTCTGTGACAGGGCAAAAAATACTTCCGAGACAGGAGGGGAGGTGGCAGAAACTCCGACTGGTCTTCCGAGTCAAATCGACAAGGACAGCAGTGTGAGTGACCTTTGCTTTGTCTCTATTGTGTGTGCTTTTGGCTGGACTGCGCGTTAAGGTCTGTGGTCACAGAGCTGGCAAGAGGGGTGCTCATTCAGAGAGCACCACCTACAGGTTCTGCTCCTGTTCAGGTGCCAGCCTCGTGGTTGGTCAGCCGTTGGCGGGGACTGACACTGCCGGTTGTATTCCCTCTAGCATCATCGGACTGCTACATCTATGACTCGGCAACTGGCTACTATTATGACCCCTTGGCGGGGACTTACTATGACCCCACCACCCAGGTGAGTGCTGGGCTTTGCTCGCTCTGTCAGGGACTTAAGAAGGCCAGGTCTCCCCTCGAGGAGATTTATTTATTGAGTGGATTTGAAGATGATGGCCTTTATACGAACTGCCTGTGTGGACAGTCAGTGCCTGTGGCTGGAGCAGTGCTGCTCTTAGAAGGGACAGTGGGTTGCTTGGTGGTGTCCTACGCCTGGAGTGGGTTGTCACCTGGCCTGATGTGTCTCTGCTTAGACTTAGGAGTGAGAGAACTGTTCTTTCCTCCAGAGGGAACTGCTCCGAAGCCCTGACACCACTGGGAAGGTGAAACACCCTGTAGACTTATCTGTTCCCACTGTCTTACAGCAAGAAGTCTATGTGCCCCAGGACCCGGGGTCCCCCGAGGAGGAGGAGAGCCGGGAGAGGAAGCCAGCCAGCCAGGGCAAGTTGGGTGGCAAGAAAGAGACGTCCAAAAGGGACAGCAAGGAGAAGAAGGACCGCAGCGGGCCGAGGGTGAGGGACCTGCCATCTGCTCTCTCTTCAGCCAGAGCTACAGGCAGAAACACGGGTCCCTGCACAGGGTGCTTGGGTCGGAGGGTAGAGTTGCCCAGCAGGCAGGGTCTCTTTCTCTCTTTTGGGACTCAGCTCAAACCCCAGCTCCTCCACTCCAGTTTCGCTGGCTGCCTTCCCTCTTCAGTGCTGCCTCTGTATACACAGCTCCATAGTGTGGTTGTAGCGGGGATACCATTTTTAATTATTATTTTCACGCCTGCTTAGTAGAAATTCTCAGTAAACGTGTACCCTTATTTTCTTTGTCATTTTGGCATTGTTTGTCTCTGCTTTCTGATCTTATATTGTCATAATGTACAGCACTTAGCATTTTATTTCTCCGTTTAAATTATTCCCTTAAGTTCCTGACATACAGTAATCACTAAATAACATACTAAATGTGTGTGTGTGTTTTATTTTGAAATCATAACAATTCTTAACCTGACTTGTATGAGAATTACCTGGATTCTGTCAGTTTCAGGAAGACGCCAATGAGGAGACGGCGCCCCCAGAGGATGTTTTTAAGAAGCCCCTGCCCCCCACGGTGAAGAAGGAAGAGAGTCCTCCCCCGGTGAGGCTGAGCGGGGGCACCGGGCTGGGCTGGCTTCGGGTGCGAACGGAGCCTCGCTTTGACGTCGGTCCTTTAGCTCTGGTCTCCCAGCAAGTACATGGGGCACACTGCCTGCTCTAGTGCTTTACCTGGAAGCAGAGGCCATTTTCTGTGCCGTGTCGTCCCGTCCCCGTCCCCGTCCCCGTCCCCGTCCCCGTCCCCGTCCCCCCCCCCACACACACACACTCCATTTTCCGGAGCAGGGACTGCCTGGCCCTTTTTAAGTTCTAATCTTGGTCTTGTTCATTCTTTTCTTCTAAATGGTCAACGGAACCCATTGTTCTGGCCTGGTGCTTCCTGTCTGTTGTGCTGCCTAAGAGTGTGTGGAGTGGTGGTTGGTCATTTTTACATTTGCTGCTGGCCCAAATGAACAGTGGCTAACAGTGGCACCTGTTTGTTAGATGCCTCAGTGTGGTAGTCTCATCCCTGGCTAGGTAGCTCAGTTGGTTAGAGCATCGTACAGTATGCCAAGGTGCAGGTTCTGTCCCCAGTTAGGGCACATACAAAAACCAACCAATGAGCCTGGCCTGCATGGCTCAGTGGTTGAACGTTGACCTATGAACCAGGAGGTCAGGGTTCGATTCCTGGTCAGGGTACATGCCCAGGTTGTGGGCTTAATCCCCAGTAGGGAATGTGCAGGAGGCAGCCAATCAATGATTCTCTCATCATTGATGTTTCTCTCTCTCCCTCTCCCATCTTTTCTGAGATCAATAAAAATACATATTAAAAATAAAAAAAATCTGAACAGAATAAACTAGTGAATATAATAGAATCAGGGGCATAGAAAGGGAGTGGACTGACAATTCTCAGGGGAAAGGGGAACGGGGGTGTGGGAAGAGACTGGACAAGAAGCATACACCGCCGAAACCAGTTTGGCTCAGCAGTAGAGCGTCGGTCTGCGGACTGAAAGGTCCCAGGTTCGATTCCGGTCAAGGGCATGTATGTTGGTTGCGGGCACATCCCCGGTAGGGGGTGTGCAAGAGGCAGCTGGTCGATGTTTCTCTCTCATCGACGTTTCTAGCTCTCTATCTTTCTCCCTTCCGCTCTGTAAAAAATCAATAAAATTTATATTTTAAAAAAAATGAAGAAGAAGCATACACCTATGGATGAGGACAGTGGGGGGGAGGTAAGGGCAGAAAGTGGGGTGGAAACTGGATGGAGGGGAAAAAGAGGAACAATTGTAATCTGAACAATAAAGATTTATTAAATTTTAAGAAACAAACAAAAAACAAATAAAAAGAATCAACCAGTGAATGATCCTTTCCCCCCCACTCCATAACAGTAGTAACTTGGTTTAGTTTTTACTTTTGATTGATCACAGGCCAGTGACCTTACCTTCTGACCTAGGTTTTCTGTGAGCTACCGGTAAAAGCCCTGCCTGCTCCGCTGTCCGTCGTTGCTTTCGGCCACCTCCTAGTCTGGGGATTGCTGCGATCTTAGTCTCCCTCCTTTCTCCAGGCTACAGTGACTTGGTGGTGGTGGTGGTAGTTCTTCCTCTGAAACTTGTAAGGTCGTGACTCTTTCTGTGTTCTCCTTCCGCTCTCCTCCCTCTTCCTTCTCTTCGCTCTTCTGTCGCTAGGGTCCTGGTTCTGTCTCCATCTCAGTGAGCAGGACAACAGTCAGGCTCGGCCATGTTGCCTCCATCTGGGAAATGAGCGGTATGGTCAGTGGGCTATCCTGAACCCAGTTCCCTATTCAAACTGAAAGAAGAAACGAGAAGACCAGATGAGAATGTCCAGAAAGACGGGCCCAGAATATAGGTTCCGTTTGGTGTTAATCCCTGGCCCTCTTCCTCAGCCCAAGGTGGTTAACCCCCTGATTGGCCTGCTGGGTGAGTATGGAGGAGACAGCGACTATGAGGAGGAGGAAGAGGAGGAGCAGCCCCCGCCTCCGCAGCCCCGCACAGCGCCGCCCCCGCAGCAGGAGGAGCTGAGCAAGAAGGAGAATGAAGAAGACAAGCTCACGGACTGGAACAAGCTGGCCTGCCTGCTCTGCAGGAGGCAGTTTCCCAATAGAGACGTTCTGATCAAGCACCAGCAGCTCTCAGACCTGCACAAGGTATGGGAGCGGGCCCTGGCCTTTCGCATGGTAACGCTTACTATCCACGAGCGTTGAGCATTCGGGGGCTGAACAGGCATATGCCGCCCTTCCTCAGCTGCCCCCTCTTCGCTCCCAGGATTAAATCAGGCCCCTTCCGGGATAAGTTGCTCCTCCCTTTGTTCATGAGTATTAAGTGTGCCACTTTTAGGAAACTTCAGGCCCAGGGCAAGCAGTGGGGCTGGGACAGGGCGCCACGTGCGTGAACAGGAGCTGGGCTTCTCACCTTAGCTCTGTGGTTACCTAGCGATTGGGCCTCAGACAGGCCCCTCTGCAGTGGTACTTGAGGCTTCCCTGTTGCGTCTGGCTGGGACGGGCAGCTTCCCCTGGGCCACATTCTGCCATCTCTTCACGTAATGAGGGGCTGCCGGGAGCCTTGCTGCGTTCACTGACACGCCTCGGCCTCTGTGGCCGTCCTGTTTGTATGTGCTGACCAGGAGCCAGATTGTGGACAGACAGCCCCCAGGTGGACTGGCGCTGTGGAGGGACGACTCCTCACCCTCTGTGAGGGGTGGCTTAGACTCGCCCTCCACACAAGCCACGCCTTCTGTGGCTGGCAGCCAAGCAACTCTACTTTCAGTAACGCACATCTCCCAGCTGCCTCTGGAGGCTCCCCAAAGTGTCTGGGATTCTGACAGTCCCTGCGACACCCCTCCCTCCTCCAAGTCCCTTCAGTCTTTTCAAATTCTGCGATGGCAGACGGACATTTACATTTCGGCTTTCTGATGAAAACAATAAATGGCTGAGGGACAAAGGGTAGTTGTCAAGATAAAGAAGCTAGCCCTCTGCTAGACCCACAGATGGACTGGCTAGGGCGGGAGAAGGTAGGCCCGCACGCTCCCTGTCCTGGAGCGCGCCACCCAGACCCCTCTGCCTCCTCTCCCATGTGCCTGGGAGGGGACCCTCACAGCAGTCTGCTCTCTTAAGGCCATGGCTTCCTTTAGTGTTTCTCCGGGGGCTTGAAATGAACAGTGCTGGGTGCTGGGGAATAGGCAGAGCATGTGGGCATTTGGTTTTCCTCCCTGTGTGCTGATTGCCCTCCTGTCATTGGTATCCTGGGTAAAGAGATACAGACCAGTTGTGTCTTTTACATCTTAGAAGTAGAGTGAAGTCCCCTCTTTGCCACCCACATGACTAAGCCGTGTGGCAGGCAGCCTGTAACCCCGTCAGGGAGGGGTCCTGGCAGGGTATCGTGGCCCCTCGGGGACTGGTCAGGAGAGGAGCCCAGGCCTGCAGCAGCTCCGGGGAAAGGCCGGGAGGCTTTCTGGACCCTCGTTCTAGACCTGCTTCAGAACGCCTTCTCTCCCTCTTCTCAGCAAAACCTGGAAATCCACCGGAAGATAAAGCAGTCGGAGCAGGAGCTCGCCTACCTGGAGAGGAGAGAGCGGGAGGTAAGCTCCGGACCTTAGGCCTTGGCTCTGCTTTCTGGTGTAGAGTTCTGGGCTGTGCTGAAGACGGAGAACCAGGAGGCCCTAAAAGACAATGGAACAGTTCTCAACTCACCTCCATTGAAACGAGGGCACTTCGTTGTGTATATGTGACATCTTAATAGAGTTGGTACATTTTAAGGTGGTGCTCAGGGTTTCTGAGTAATCAGATAAACAGCATTCCACCTCCCTGCCCAGCTCTGAAAGCAGTGCAGGGTGTTGGCCAGGGCTGCTGGGGTCCCCTTTCCTGCTAAAGCTGCTAGGGGAGGAGCTTTCTGTGACAGCCACTGGACCACACAATTAGCCAGCCTCGGCCTAGTCTCGAGCTGCCCCAGCCAAGGGCCGGTCTCATGATGGCCGGAACCTGCCTGCGGGGCCTGTAGGAGCTGTTCCTCCCCGACACCCGCAGCCACTGCTTCCTCGAGCAGCGTGTGGAGGACCGAGCTTCGAGCGCTGGCCGCCAGTTAATGCCTTCACATGAGACAATCAGGAATAAAGTGAGGCTTCCCCACTTCTCTGCCCTCAGGTCTGCTCTGCTTCCCAACAGGGAAAGTTTAAAGAAAGAGGAAATGATCGCAGAGAAAAGCTTCAATCTTTTGACTCTCCGGAAAGAAAACGAATGAAATACTCCAGAGAGACTGACAGGTAAGCCGGGAGCTCTGGACCCAACATGAAGCCACCCCTCCTCCAGCGGGGCTGCTGCTGTCTGCTCAGGGAGCAGGGCTGTCTCCCTCCGTGAGCAGGAGCGGCCCCGCCTTCTGACCGCCTGGCTCCCAGGGGGCGTGTTTGCTGGCAGACGGGCTGGCTGCCAGCGCTGGCATGGCCATGGTTGGGAACCCTTTCTCCCACATCAGCCATGGGCCTGATAAGCATGTCACACTCAGACTTCTTCTCTGAGGGACCTTCATTGTGACACATGGCGGGGGAGGGGGAAACCCACTCTCTGCAGTTGGAACTCTTGGACAATGACAGGTGCAGGTTCACCAGGAGAAGGAGGCCTCCTCTATTCCCTTGCCCTTCACACCACTTCTCCCGGCTCTCCTCCCCCTCCATCTTCTTTCCCACGTGTCCCTTTCTGGGTGATGATTGTCCAGGACTCTGCCCTCTGTGCGTACTCTCTTGACCTGCACTGTCCAGGGCACCCAAAGCCACAGCCACCACAGCAGGCTAACAAGTCCTGTGACTCCAGCTGAACCAGTTCTGTTTCCTTTACCTCCTGGGCCTGTCCCCTCGGACACCCCTTCTCACCCTGAACAGTCACTCACTCCGGGGCTGGGGAGCTTGCTGTGTTCCTGTCGGAGTAGTAATGGCACTGTGCCGTGGTCTCCCTGCTCTGACCCAGTCTTTCTCCTTATCCGCTGGAGCCAGTGGTCACCGTCCTGATAAAGCCTGGCCCCTTCCTCATCACCTTCAAACCAACTCCTTAATCGCACCCTCGGCTCGCAGTCTTTGCCCCTTCTTTCCCCTGCCACAGCATGCCTGGTGTGCAGGAGGCTCCTAACGCTCGCCTTGTGTGGCGTGGCATTGCCTGGAGGGAGACCTGGTTTTCAGCGGGTGTCTTCGCCCGAGGCGTGAAGTCCAGAGGCCTGATGTGGCGAGATGTCCAGAGGGTGTTCACAGTCTGGCACGAGCAGCCGGTTGCCAGTCCTCCACCCCTCTCTGGGACAGCATGTTCTCCCATGCACCTTTCTTCTGGCTCACCGTCTCCTCGTTGGTCACACCCAGGCAGAGTCCCCTCTCGGGATTTCTTCACTTTCGGTGCTGCCCTCCCGGCGGTGTTCCTGTGCTGTATTCAGCACACAGCTGCTGTGCACGCCCACGCTGGCCGCTCGGTGTGCCAGAGCTGCTGTTGGCATTTTCTCACGCCCTTCCCTGTGAACGGGGTCGGTCTTGGTCGCCTCTGTATCCCCACAAACAAACAGTTGGAAGTGACGGTACCTGAGCACGTCTGCTTCCATTGCAGTGATCGGAGACCTGCTGATAAAGAAGATGTGGACAATAGCAGCAAAGGAGGCTGTGTCCAGCAGGCTGCTGGTTGGAGGAAGGGGCCCGGATATGGCCACCCCGGATTGGCTTCAGCGGAAGAGGTGAAATGGTTTCCGTCTTGTTGGGCTGGCATGAACCTGGACTATATTTAACTTCCTCTCTGTGTGGCCCAGAGCTGTGTTCCTGCCTTTGACCTGTGTGGTCTCCGCTGCTGGCAAAGGACCTGAGCTGAGGAGCCCTCGGTCTTGGTTACGGGGTTATGACTGGGCCTGCTTACCCTTGGCAGTGTGCTGGGTGGTGGGAATGGGAGAGAGAAGTTAGAAGAGGCTCATCATACTCTTACAGAGTCAGGTGAGGCCTTAGGAAATTGGGGAGTTTGAGGCTAAAGAATCATTTGGTAAAAATGTGGGAGCTAGCAGTGAAATGTAGAGAGGGATTTAACATGTTTTCATTGATTTTTAGAGAGAGAGGAGGAAGGGAGAGGGATAGAGAGAAACATCCACAAGAAAAAATTGGCTGCCTCCTGCGCTTCTTGCTGGAGAGCATGTGCCCTGACCAGGCATTAAACCAGTGACCCAGTGACCTCCTGGTTCACAGGTCGATGCTCAACCACTGGGCCACACCGGCCGGGCGTGTCACCATGTCTTTGATGGCTGAAATTTGAGGATCACGAAGTTAGTCCTGTTTTCCCAGGAAGGACTCTGCCCCTCAGATTTCAGGAAAAACAAAGAAGGTGGAAGAGGAAGGAAGCATTGCCCACGCTGTGTTGACTTAGCCCCCTCTGGAATTGCCAGCATAGACTAGCTTCTCCTGTGTCTGGTGTTGCCTTTTGAGTTCTGAAATAATGGCATCACCACCCTCCTCATTCATCTTGGGTGTTCGTTTATTTTTATTTTTTCAGTATATTTTATTGATTTTTTACAGAGAGGAGGAGAGGGGGATAGAGAGCTAGAAACATCGTGATGAGAGAGAAACATCGATCAGCTGCCTCCTGCACACTCCCTATTGGGGGTGTGCCCGCAACCAAGGTACATGCCCTGACCGAACTCGAATCTGGGACCTTTCAGTCCGCAGACCAACGCTCTGTCCTCTGAGCCAAACCGGTTTCAGCAGGTCTTCGTTTATTAAACACCTAAAAAGTTCTCCTGTGTCCTGATCCGACCTGGTTCAGAAGCAAATTGAATTCCTAGAGCCCGCCTCATAGTTTGCCTTTTTTTTTACAGACTGAAGGCCGGATGAAGGGGCCCGGGGTGGGGGCTCCCGGAAGAACCAGCAAGAGACAGTCCAACGAGACATACCGAGACGCTGTGCGAAGAGTCATGTTTGCTCGATACAAAGAACTCGATTGAAGGACGGAGCAGTCCCCTTGGACACAGCCTCCTGTTTTGTGTGTCAGTCTCTCCTTTTGTTTTGTTACTGTTCTTGCTGCTAGAACTTTTTTAAATAAACTTTTTTTCAATGTGATTTTGGGTTGTTACATTTATCCCCTGTGGGGTGGTTGGAGTTGGCACCAATGTGGGCCCGTTTGAGACGCTGCTGAGTGGAGAGTGCTGCCCCAGCCCTGGAGCACTGCCTCTGCCAGGATGACTGACCTTGAACCCTAGCCTGTGTGAATAGACTAAGAATTTTTCTAATTTAATTAACGAATCTAGCATCTCATTAGCGTTCGTTTCTATTTCTTGGCTAACCGCTGGTGCTGAACTATTCCCATGTATTGGTTTATTACTCTAACAACCCTTCGGAGTCCTCTTCTGACTTTCCCTTCTTGGGGGATGGGCAGCTGTGGCACCTCTCTGAGTGCCTGCTGGGTACTCAGTGCTTCACACGTGTGATCACAAGTCAGCACAGTAAGAAGCACACGCCTCTCCGGCCATAGCCCGCTTTTCCTCCCCCCACGGCCACCCTCTCACAGAGGTGTCTGCCGGTTTCAAATCCTCCTCCAATTCCCCAGTCATTCACCAGCTCACAGGGGGGAGTTTTTCATTCTTTGCCTTTGGAGGACTATATCCTATGAACCTATTAAGACTTTTAAAGATAATTCCTCAAGATAACATATGTAGTACTAAGAATTGTACTTTCCAGATGTGACAGAAGAATATTTCTCAGGAAGGGACCTGGGTGTTCAGAGGGCATCTCGGTGACATGCTGCAGGAGGGTGTGAACTCTCAGTAAAGAGACAGAGTCTGTGTTTAGGCTCAGCCCTGTGTATTGAGAAAGTAGCCATAGACAAGTGGTGGTGACTGTTGCAATAAAACTTTATTTACAAAAACAGGTTGCAGGCCAAAATTGGCCCAAGGGTGGTTTGCCAGCCCCTGTTCTAAGGGCACATCTAGCATAAGGTAAGACCAAGAAGAGCTCTGCAAAGAGATGGGGTGGGGGTGGCATTTTGGAGGGATGGGAGATGGAAAGAGAGGGCATACACCAAGGAGAAAACGTTTCCAGCAACCAGAATGTGAACTTAAATTGTTTGCATGCTGTGTCCAGATATTCCTTCCTCTTAATCTTGAATAAGTCCTTTTATCCCTTAAAAAGGGAAAACAGCCCTAACTGGGTGTAGAATAAGCCATAATAGGAACATGTTTAGCCCAGCTGGTGTGGCCCTGTGGTTCAGTGTCACCCCATGCACCAAAAGATGGTTAGAGTCCAAGTCAGGGCACATCCCCTGGTGGTGGGCTCGACCCCCAGTAGGAGGTATGCAGGAGGCAGCTGATAGAAGTTTCTATCTCCCTTCTCCCTCTCCCTTCATCTCTCTCTCTAAAAATCAATAAAAACATTTTCTAAGAACATGTTTAAAGATGCTTTTCTAGGAAAAATATTTTTTAGTATATTTGAAGGTTCTGGTTTGGAATCTCTTAGACATCCTTCCACTTAGTTATCTAGAAGAGAGTGGTATGGGTGCCGTTTTCCATAACTAAACTGATACCTTTCTCTGCCTTGTCATGGTCTATTTTTCAGTTTGTATAAGTGGCCTGAAAACTCAGTTCCACTAAAAATACATTTATTAATAATGGGAAGTTATGTTAACTGGATGCACAAAGATCACCACCTCACTGCGGGAGTCCAAAGCATCTCTGAATCATCCCAGGATGTATGCTTTCTGCCTCAAACGTTATACCTTTGATCGTGGATTCATCTGTTGTTCAGCAAATCTTTACTGAGGGCATACTGTGTGCTGGGCACCAGAAGAGGGACCAGAGAGAGAGTGGTGAATTAAGCAGACAAAAGTCCCTGCCCTCCTGGAGTTTACATTCTAGTGGCTGAGGACATGGACTCTGAAATTAAGCCTACTAGTTCATGTCTCAGTACCAACGCATTTGTTCTGTGTGACCTCCCCTCTCCGTAAAATAAGGACAGTAATGGTGGCTTTGGCTAGGTGAACGGCAGTTGCAGCTAAAAGTGGTCAGATGCTAGAAATGTTTTGAAGGTAGAATGAGAATTTGCTGACAGGTTGGGTGCAAGAAAAAAGTCACAGGTTACTCCAAGGTTCTTGTGTGGAGTAACTGGAAGCAGGGAGTTTGCATTTATGAGCCAGGGAAGGCAGTGGAGAGGAGGTTAGGTTTTGGCTGTGTTAACTTGGAGATACTAGTAGACATACAAGTAGTAACTATTAAATTAACTCTTAGCCGAAACCGGTTTGGCTCAGTGGTAGAGCGTCAGTCTGCGGACTGAAAGGTCCCAGATTCAATTCCGGTCAAGGGCATGTATATTGGTTTTGGGCACATCCCCAGTAGGGGGTGTGCAGGAGGCAGCTTGTCGATGTTTCTCTCTCGAGATGTTTCTGGCTATCTCTGTCCCTTCCTCACTGTAAAAAATCAATAAGATATATTTTAAAAAATAAAAATAAAATAAATTAACTCTTAAAATAATAAGAGAATATAAATGGAATGATACTCTTTAGACCTGCTTTCAAGAATCCTCTTAATTTCCATGAATCTCAATTTCCTCACATGCAAAGTGGATTTAATCACCATTTCATGTTATGAAGATAAAAATAGATTTTTGTAAAGTCGTCCAATCATCTTAGCGTCCAATAATGCAGCATAAGATAAACTAAGTGTTCCTTCTCTTAAAAACAGATTAAGTTCTAACCGGTTTAGCTCAGTGGATAGAGCGTGAGCCTGCAGACTGAAAGGTCCCAGATTCGATATCGGTCAAGGGTATGTATCTTGGTTGCGGGCACGTCCCCAGTGGGAGGTATGCAGGAGGCAGCTGATGGATGTTTCTCTATCCCTCTCCCTTCCTCTCTGTAAAAAAATCAATAAAATATATTTTTAAAGAAAACACTTTTTTTAAAAACCAGGTTAAACGTACTTGTAACAAAGACAAAACTTTACTATGCCTAATAAAGGTGAAAGCTCTTAACCGGGGTCTGCAAAAGGCCGCTTGGCAACAGGCGCGGGTTTGATGAAGGGAAATACGCAGGAAACTACTGGGGACGTAGTAACTGACAGGCGGCCCTAGCGACCACACTTCCCAGCAGCCCTCGCGCAGCCAGGCGCCTCCGCGATTGGACGCCTCCTCGAGGGGCGTGTCAGGGGACGGGTGGGCGCGAGGAACTGTGGGTAGGAGACGGCAGTCGACGGAGACGCCATTTTGTGGAGCGGCGGTACCCGGTTGGAGGTTCTGAGGCACAAAACCGCTACGTGGGCCCCCTTGGGTCCTTCCTGGAGGTAAGTGCGGCGGCCGGGCGAGGCGGCCGGCGGGCCTCGCTGTCGGGGCGGGCCTCGCTGTCGGAGTCTCCCTGGCCGACGCGCTCGGGCCGCGGCCGGCAGCTCCGGCCGGACCTCTCCGCGGACCAAACTGCCCGAGGCGCTGGAGGCCCGCGCAGCTCGGCGCCGCCTGCGCTGTCAGACTTCCGAGGCCGCCTCCCGCCCCGCCCAGGCCGGCTGCCTCCGGGCTCGGAGGGCCCGGCCGGGAGCGCGGAGCCGCCGCGGCCCCTCGGGGACCTCCCGGCTCCCCCGCAGCCTCCCGCCGGCCCGGCCGCAGCCGCAGCCGCACCCCCTCAGCCCTCTCCGGGGGCCTCGGGGGCGGCTGCTCCGCGGGCGGGGAGCCGCGGGGCGGGGACGGGAGGGGCGTGTGCGAGGAGCGAGGGGGAGCCGGGCCCGGGGCGGCCGCGCAGGCGCCGGCGCCGCCATCTCGGCCGCGACACCCGGGAGGTGGTCGGGCGGCCTCCGCGACCCTGCCCGGCCCTGCCCGGGCCTGTTTCCCCCGCACGGCCCTCCCCGCTCCCCACGCCGCCGGGGCTCGTTGGGGGCCGGCTCGGAGCCGGGGGCCGGCCTCGCGGCGCCGGCGCGTCCCAGCCGTGGGCCGGGCGGGCCCGGGCCGCGGGGTTCCAGTTGCTCGGGAAGAAAGCCGCCCCCCGTGGCCTCCGGCCGGACCGAAGGAGCTGTGGGGCAGCCGCTGTGTTGTAAGGGGAGTAGATTTCCATCAGCCCCGCATCCCGGCTTCCAAAAGGCTTTCGATTTCCCACCCGAGCTGTGTGGGTCTCACGCCGCTCCGCAGTCAAGGCCCCAGGACTGTGGTGATGGTCGTCCCCGGCCATTGGCGCTGCGGCCCTCTCCCTCCTGTTTGCGGTGTAACCCGAAGCGGGGGCCGGGAGGCCTCCGCCTGCACCCTTTGTGGCTCTATACCGGCAGGGGCACTTCCGTTTGGAAGTAGGCTTCCTCCTTGTTAGCAAAACGGCGTGATTTGAATGCTGACAATTTGGTCCCTGGCTTCCCTACCCCCCTCTAAGGCTTTGACGAAATTCCAGCTTCGGTAGTGTCTCCGTCATAGAACGATTGACAGTGATTCAGATTTGCAGCAACCGATCTCTCTTTTCTTCTAGGAAAATAAATAAATAAAATAAATAAAAAGCCCCACAAAATTGGAACCTTTGGGAGCAGTGAGCTAGATCCTCAGTAAGACAATGGGTTCCGACAAAAGGTAAGTTACTGCTCTGCCTGCTTTAACCTCCGCTTTTCAGTGGGGACTGAGCAATTGTTTAAAAATCGTTTTGTTTATCAGACATGTTGAAGTATCTGTCTGTGCCAGGCATTGCTGTGAGCGCCTCCATGATCCTTGCTCTCACAAGCATGCCGTTGAGAGAGAGAGAGTGTGAGTGACGTGGGACCCCCTGTGAGGAAGAGGTGGAGGCTGCTGTCAGAGTGCACAGGGAGTGGGGTCCGGGGAGGGGTCTGGGAACCGCCAGTTAAGCTTCTTGGGGAAAGTATCTAAGGAGGAGCCTGAGGGTAATACCGTGTTTCCCCAAAAATAAGACCTATTAGGTCTAGTAATAATTAATGTCGTTTTCTAATACTTTTTTAAATCGAATTTATTTAAACAATACAACAAAATTTAATCAACAATATAGTTGCCGTTGTTTTCTACTACTTGTGCCCAATGCTCAGGAAGCATTTTAATCCCTCTGTTGTAAAATTCTTGTGATTTTGATGCAAAAAATTCGGTCAATGCATTTTTGAGGC